ACTTAATTCATTATTCAGTTATTCACTTATTTTCCCCACGTCTCCGTAATTTCCGTAAGATTCAACGTGAGATTACCGTCCTGCTTCTTGACGTAAGCTAATCGAGGCATCTTTTCGTCGACGTTCACTTCCCTGAACAAGGTTTTCGCACATGTTTTTCGAGTTCCATCTCACATTATTGCAGTCTGTCTTATCCAAGAAAGTAGTCTATCCTTTCTGAATGATTTTTCAATTTCTTTCTATGCTTCTCTTCCGAAGATTTGCATGCTATCAGTATTGGCAAACCTGCTTTTTTCTTGCAACCATTTATTATTCACGCTTATCCACGGTTTTCTTCGTCTTTTCTTCTGTCCAAATTGCTTCTCTGCTACTCTGTTTCCCTGTAAATATTCCAAGCTTCCCTCAATAAACCATCTGTATAATCACTAAGTGGCATGGATCTTCCGTCAATCATGACCTCGTATGCCTGAAATATTGCATTGTTTGATGATATTGGATCTTTTCGCCTTCAAACCTTGAAACAAATTTTCACTGCTATTCAAGGATCGGACTTTGGCTTCAATTTAGCCACTTTCAAATAATGGCAGCTGTTGCATGCAGCTTTGTACAGACCGATATCCCTTAAACATATTCGCTGCCTTCTGACGATATGAGCATGGTCAGTTTGGTTTCCGACGATGTATCAGTGGAGTGTCATGCTATCATATACACTTATTTGTAAAGAGACAAAGTTTCGCCAACGAGTAGATCGTGCAGCTCACACAGTTCCGTTAATCGTTCATCGCTGTCATTCATCTCTTCTATGTCTTTTGATCCAAGACGTACACGCAGTTCATTTGTTGTTCCCACTTTCGCTTTGAGATGACTCAGAAGAATCAAGATATCACGAGTTCGGCACTGTTGCAGCCACAGACTCAGCGCTGCACTAAATTTCCCCTTTATTGCCTCGGCAACAGCTACGACAGGGGGTCATAACAACGAACTGTCGTGACGCCAAGTCTTTTGTACATGAAGTTGAACTTCGCCGCGACCATTTGGTCACACACCAAGCAACAGTGTACGAGAACTCCTACATTTTTACAGACTGCCAGTACTATGCACTTTCTGCGATCGGCATCTTCAGTTGTGTTCCTTCTGCAATATAAGCAATAGCTTACGGCT